AAATTTCAAAAATTTGAGGGCTCCAAGCAATGTTTGCATGATCAAAGTGGCCGGTGTGTGGGAAAATCTCGTGTTTATTGGCATTGATCTTCAATTGTTGAATGTGATCGAGTATATCCTATGATGATAACTGAGAAGTCCATTAGGATAGTGCAAAATTTTAGTTCTCATGTGTGCATAAATGAATGAACGTCTTGACTCGATTACTTGTTGATGGTTGGGTGAATTGGAATAGATGGTTGGGTGACTACATAGCCATGTGAGCTTTGAGCCGATCATTTTCTTCTTGTGTGTTTAGATCCCTCTTACCATGGCGTGTAACATCACAGTTGTCACTAGTGAGTGTGATGGAGGCATATGATTAGTCCACGCCCAAATGTTGATTGTCCCGAAATGTGTACCCCTTAGTCAACCTCTTTGAGCCTTGTGACTTCGAGGGTCGTTCTTAAATTAGGAGCTTCTTGCTTGTGAGCTTAATGGTGTTAATAGAACGACCCCCATCCTTTCTTCGTGTCTAAACATGAGTCATCCTTGTGTCCCGGAGCTCTCGCTTTCGAGTTCCATTGAGGTTCTACATAGGAGGTTTGTGTGCGGCTCTTGCTAGGAAACAAAAATGAAGTGTAGTGTTGGAGTGAATTCTTCAAAAAGAGAGCACCGGTCGTTAAAAGTGTAGGTGGCAATGTTTTACTCGCTAGTACCCCCCCTCAAAAAGAAAAGAAAAGAAAAGAAAAAGAAAGAAAAGAGAATCGAAAAAGAGGTAATAAGACGGGGTAAATAAAGTAGAGAGTGCCACGGAAAACCAAAGTGTATGCTCTAGGGGGTTTCTTGGCACTCAAGCCATTGAAACCCCCCCCCCCCCACCATAATGTGATAGCAAGAGTTGACCGAGGAAGAGTGCCTTGATGTAGTTCACGATGGGTGATAGTTTGGAAGGGACAGATAAGGTTTTTGGCCGATGCTAGTGGCCTTTGGTTGAAGAAAAGGGTTTTAGTACGAACCATAGATCCTTCGGGTTTAGGTCAAAGATGTAGAACCACACGTCATGATTGCCACCACCCAAAAATCCTTTTCCTCATGTCCAAGACAATTGCCAATCATCTGAACCCGGGTCTAAGACCTCCGGACGAGCTAGTGATGACAACCATCCCGTGAACTCTAGCATTTAGAGGTTACCGCCGTGGTATTGAGACGGTAGGGCCGAGAGTTGATGATTGTGCACATCTTTTGCACCAAAAAGTTCCCGACCCCACTGGTCTTAAGAGTGAGCGATTCATTCTTGTTTTGCATGCCATATCATACCCCGGTGAGGACTTTTGTTGCCTTTCCATTGGTTCCTTGGACTTGAATTCTATGCATGTTTAGTTGTGGTTGATAGGTGGTCTTGTTGAGACTTGCATTGATCAATGAACAAGGTGAGAACTTTTGGTTTGCCCATTCTTGGTGGCTTCGAATGTCGTTTGTGGTGGATGTCGGTATTGCTTGCAACGGTCCATGCATTAATTGCCAATAGCCATTGAGAATTCCCACTTTGTGCCCTTTGAGTTGTCCCCAAAAGTATTTGTGTAGGTTGAAATATTACCTTGTGTGAAATGGTTTGCTTGGGGACAAGCAAACGTCTAAGTGTGGGTGAGTGATTCGGGCCTAGTTGTACGTATTTTACCCCGGTTTTCCTTATGCGTCTGTGGCAATTGTGCTCTTAAAAGGGTGGGTTTACGCGAAATTTCTTGTGTTTAGCGTGATTTCAGGATCTAGCAGGTGAAACCAGCCCCAGAGTCAAAAGTTGGATGAAAAGGAGCGAAAACCGGGAGAAGGTGTGAAAAACCATCAGTTCACGGCTTTCCTTGGAAGTTCACAGTCTGCTAAGATCGTGAAGAAGAGTTGTTGCTCGTGAACATTAAGACGTCCAGGGCCAAATCTCAAGTTACAAACACTAATTGAGTACACGGTCACTAAGACCATGAACTAGAGTTGTTGCCCGTGAACCAGGTCAAGCGAAGAGGTGCGTTTCAACGCCCATCTTAAGTTCACGGACGCGTTTCAGAGTTCACGGCCGTGAACTGACCACGATCCATGTTTAAAAGAAGAGCTGAAAGGAAGAGAGTGGGAGAGCCCAAAAGAGTGAGAAAGTCTTCTTCTTCTGATTTTAGAGAGAGAAAGGCGAACCAAAGGAGAAGGAGGCTAGGGTTTTGCTCCAAGAGTGGATTTGGGAAGATTCTCCCCAAAGAAGTTCAACACAAGTGCAAAGAAGATTGGAAGCCTCCCCATGATGGTTTCTACCTCTTCCCCTTGTGTTTCTCCCATTTCTAGCATGGAGTAGATTTCTTTTTCACTTGGGTGTTGTGAAACCCTAACTATCTACCATGTAGTTTTTGTTATGTGAATTGAATGATTGTTTATGGGTGTTGTTTCATTCAATGATTGAAGTATTATTCATGTTGATTGTGCATGTTTTGTGCTTAGCAATCTAATTGGCCAATTTATCCTAGACTAGAGAGGGAAAACCCCCTTGCAAGGGAGGCTCAATTGAGTTGGTATTCCTAGGGCTTTTAAGTCACCTGTCTAGGTTAACTTGGGGCAAACCTCGATGTTGGATTAAGCAATTTGGTTAACCGCGATTAAGCCGACCAGCCATTGGGTTGAGTGAGGGAGTAAGTCAACCATCGATTGCCTAAACCGAGAGGGCTGAGTGACAGCCTATAATGTATCCATCGGTTTAGCATTCGAGAGTGTGGTCTACGACCATATTTGCGTCCCCTAGCGGTTCGCGGTCACCTTGCCCATAGAAATCGTTTCAATTCACATACCATGGTACTAGTTAGGGGGAAGCAACACCCGAGTGATCCTTCTCACAAAAGAGCTTTCAAAACCATTTACTTTTACCTTGCTTTACTTTAATTAGCAAACTTTTCAACCAAAACCGAGTCGCTAGATAATGATTCAAATGACTGCAGTAGGGGTACACTGACTATTCCAAGTCGATATTTAAACGTATTTGCCCTGTACTGCACCCGACTAAGGTTTATACTTGGACCTTAGGCGGGAATTAATTGTGGTATTCGGGATGAGTCAACATTCTTTGCACCAAAAGGTCCAAACCCCACTGGTCAAGAGAGTGAGTGATTCATTCTTGCTTTGCATGTCATATCATACCCCGGTGAGGACCTTTGTTGCCCATTCGTTTGTTCCTTGGACTTGAACTCTATGCATGGTTAGTTATGGTTGGTAAGTGATCTTGTTGAAACTTGCATTGATTCATGAGCAAGGTGAGAACTTTTCATTTTCCCGTTTCTAGTAACCTCGAATGTCGTTTGTGGTAGATGTCGGTATTGCTTGCAACGATCCTTGTGTTAATTGCCAATAGCCATTTGAGATTTGCCACTTTGTGCCATTTGATTTGTCCCCAAAGCATTTTGATAGGTTGAGATATTACCTCGTGTGAAATGGTTTGCTTTGGGAAAAGCAAACGTCTAAGTGTGGGGAGTGATTCGGGCCTAATTGCACACATTTTATCCCCGTTCCCCTTGTGCATTTGTAGAATTTGAACACCTAAAAGGGTGGTTTTACCCTATGTTTTATATGTTTCAGTGTGCTTCAGGATCTAACAGGTGGAACCAACCCCGGAGTCGAAAGTTGGAAGAAAAGGAGCAAAGACTGGGCAAAGAGGGTGATTTAAGCCATGTTCACGGTTTCCCATTGGAGTTCACGGTCTCCTATGACCGTGAACTGAAGCCATAAACCGTGAACCGCGAAGGGTCCAGGGTGAATTCTAAAGTTACTGACGCCGAGTGAGTTCACGGTCACTAAGACCGTGAACTCAAGTGAGTGAAGCGATGCATTTCGATACAACACTCCATGATCATGGACGCGTTGAAGCGTTCACGGCCGTGAACTGAGCCCGATCCTAGTGTAAAACGTGAGCTGAAAGGAAGAGAGAGGGAGATCCCAAGAGTGAGAAAGTACCTTCTTATTTAGATTTTAGAGAGAGAAAGGACGAACCAAAGGAGAAAGGAGGCTAGGCTTTCCTCCAAGTGGTGAATTGGGAAGAATCTCCTCAAGAGAAGCTCAACACAAGATCAAAGGAGAGTGGAGGCATCTCCATGATGGTTTCTACTTCTTTCTTTTGTGTTCTTCCCCTTTCTAGCATGGAGTAGTTACCCTTTTCACTTGTGTGTTGTGAAACCCTAACTATTTGCCATGTAGTTGTAGTGTGAATTGAATGATTGTTTATGGGTGTTGTTTAATTTAATGATTGAGATATTTTTTATGATGATTGTGCCTGTTTGTGCTTAGCAATCTAATTGGCCATTCTAACCTAGGTTAGATGGGAAACCCCCCCTTTCCAAAAGAGGCTCAATTGAGTTGGGATTCCTTGGGCTTTTCAAGCCACCTACCTAGGTTAATATATGGCAAACCTCTATCTTGAATTAATCGACTAGATTAATCGTGATTAAGCCGTCCAACCATCGGTTTGAGAGAGAAGGTAAGTCAACCCTCAATGAACTTAACCAAGAGGGCTACTCTAGTAGCCTATAATGTATCCCCTTGGTTTGGCAATTGAGAGCATGGTCTTCGGCCATAGTTGCACCTCCTAGTGGTTCACAATTGCCTTACCCATAACGTCTCATTCGAGTCCACGTGCTATGGTAGTAGTTAGGGGGAAGCGACACCCTAGTGATCCTTCTCATCTAGAGCTTTCAAACCATTTACCTTTGTTTTGATTTAAGCATCATAGTTTTCAACCAAAAACCAATCCGCTAGATAATGTGTCAAACAATGAAAGTAGGGGTACATGGATCGATCCGGGTTGATATTTAAACATATTTGTCATGTATTGCACCCATCTAAGGTTTATACTTGGGCATTAGGTGAGAATTTGCTTTGATATTCGGGACGAGTCAATTCTCACCCCAATTAATCTTTAAGAGACAGTAACACTCAATTAGTCAATTGATATGTGCGCCCAACTTGTCTTAATTGCGTTTGAAAACTCCAGTTGGGACGCGCACGCCCCAATGAGCTTATAAGGACAGTAGATTCGGAAATATTCTTATAAGATACCATAATTTGAATAATATCTTTTTAATGCAGTATGTATGGAAAAAAATCCTATGTTTTCCTTAATTTCCTTTTATGTTTAAATTTTTTTTTCTAATTATCATTGTTCCTTTTATTATTTCGTAGGCTTAACTTCTTTACTTCATTCTCCACCGCTACTTTTCAGAAAATACCTTCTGGAAACCGTGCTCCATCCTCCGTCCTCCGAGCCTCCATTCAGTAAACGTCATCGGAGGTTTCAGAAATTAGGACCGACATTGCAGCAAAAGGAGGCTTTCACCGCCTCGTGAATCTTCTTTACTTTTGTCTTGCTGTGGCTGTTACCACCCTGCATTTAGTTTCCGTCTTCTTCCTCGAGAAATCAGTCCGTCCTTTCTGCTCCCTGACCGTAATTAGTTCTCCTCTATTTCTTCATCTGCTCCTTTCCCTGGTTCTTACATCTCGTTACAAAATCTCGAGTAGAACTGTGAAATAGTCAGACTAATCAACGGCGAATTGGGAGTCTACACAACTCGTTCATAGTGAGACCACGAATGGTTACTGGTTAGCCCAATCTAAGGATTTGCATGCAGGGTATGTTGACTTTTGAGGGACAGTTCTAGGTTGATGTTGGTTTAGTTTCTTAGAAAGGAAGGAGGAAGAAAGATGTTTGTGAAAGAAAATTGTGGGAGCTGCTGGCTATTCAATTATACATTCATGTTAAATTTCTGGAGAAGTCTGGTCTCTTTCTTCCGCAGGAGATTTACTTCATCGACACTTCTTTTAGCCATTGATTATGATGTTATGGTTTTGTTCCAACTCTTTTCATCTAGAATCCCAATTTCACCGTACAGTCAGCTGGTTTATGTGGCTCCATCTCTGTTTTGTTTTTCATCTCCAATCCATCTTTGTTTCTCTGAAGCTATTCCATATTGGTTCTTATATATAGGTTGATTATATTCACAGTTCAAGGATCCTCTCACTTAGTAGAAGCTCAAACAAAGCCAAGAGGGAGCGAGACCGAGGAATTCTAGAAATAAATGTCTCAAGGAAATCATGGGTTTGAGATTCCCAGAGTGAAACTGGGTACCCAAGGTCTAGAGGTATGCCCAATTGCAACCCACTTCTGCAATTTCCTTTATTCCTTTTCGGTCGTTCTGGGTCATAATCGCTGCTTCAATATCATTTTATTTTTGTGGAAGCTTTATAATCAATTGATGGTACGTATGGATGATTGTTGACTGTGGGAGAACAAAAATTTGACATGGGTTTTCTGAATTCCTAGGTGTCGAAGTTGGGGTTTGGATGCATGGGGCTAACGGGGATGTACAATGCTCCAGTGCCAGAAGATCTGGGTATTTCAATCATCAAGGAAGCATTTAACAATGGGATAACTTTCTTTGACACCTCTGATGCTTATGGCCCTTACACCAATGAAACTCTGCTTGGCAAGGTACATTATTTATACAACCTTCTTATAAACTGAACTTGGCTATTGGAAGAATAAAGATCCGATTTTAACTGTACCCATCAAGAGATAGAGTGTTTTTAGAGCTTCCCGTGTGATGTTTTTGGCAGGTACTGAAGCAATTGCCAAGAGAGAAAGTCCAGGTGGCTACAAAGTTTGGGATCACCTTTGATAACTTCAATCCCAAAGAAGTTAAGATTAGAGGCGATCCTGCTTATGTTCGTGCCTGTTGCGAGGCTAGCTTGAAGCGACTCGATTTGGATTACATCGATCTTTACTATCAGCACCGGGTTGACACTTCGGTTCCCATAGAGGAAACGGTAATTGAGTTTGTTTGAATCCTGATAAACCGTTAATATTATCAGTTTCATTTAATCCCTGTGCTTTTTAGTCAGGATTTCCGTTTGAGAATTTTTTTTTCTTCTATCTTTTTGGCAGATGGGAGAGCTTAAGAAGCTAGTTGAAGAAGGCAAAATCAAGCACATTGGACTATCTGAAGCCAGTTCCGACACAATCAAGCGAGCTCATGCTGTTCATCCCATCACTGCAGTGCAAATGGAATGGTCAATTTGGACTCGTGATATTGAGCCAGAAATCGTCCCTCTTTGTAGGAAACTTGGGATTGCAATAGTTGCATACAGTCCAATTGGACGTGGCTTCTTTGGAGGGAAAGGAATCACTGAGAGCTTGTCCTCAGAGACTGTCTTGGTAAGAACCTGAAACGGATTCTCCTGCATATGGACCTGAAAACATATTACAGTTTTCTAGAGTGCAAAGCATTATATAAGATTTTTGCTATGCTGTGGTTGCAGAGGATGCATCCAAGGTTCATTGAAGAAAGTAAAGAGAAGAACAGAGTGCTCTACACCCGAGTCGAGAAGCTAGCAAATAAACATGGCTGCACTCCTGCTCAGCTTGCTCTTGCATGGGTCTTGCATCAAGGAGATGACGTGGTGCCCATCCCTGGTTAGTCCCTTCAACACCACATTGGCCTTTCTTAAGAATTTAACCTAACCATATTTGCTTGTGCTGATCTTGTTCTTTGACCTTTTTCCTTATTTTGTTTCTGAAGGGACAACCAAGCTGAAGAATCTGGAGAGCAACATGGAATCGCTGAGAGTGAAGCTGACAAAGGAAGATGTGGAGGAGATTAGTGCGGCGGTTCCTGTGGATGATGTTGCTGGTGTCAGATCTGCTAGTTATCAGCTCACATGGAAGTTTGCTGATACACCATTGCCAAGCAAGAACTAATTAGCTGACTTATCCGCTCATATATGTTCTCTGCAGATAATGATATGTAGTTCGCATTATTATAAACATAAAAGCTCAATACAAAATGTTGTAAGCAGTTTGTATCTGATGTTCGTCCATGGAATAGTGGTTTAATAATAAGAATAAACTAGTTTTGTGTCCAGCCTGTATGGGAAGAGTGATTGAAAGTTTGTAGTTGCAGAGAGGGTAGCTATGTTGTTCATTTAAAACTAATAATGATAAATTGGTGAGTTCTTGGAAACAAGGTATTGAATGTTTAAAACAAATCCACATAGCAAAAGAAATGTAATTTGTAATTGAGCCCATTTGATGAATAGAGCAGTTGAGGAAGGGTATGTTAGTATATAAGCATCCAATTAACCCATATCAAGTTATGCCCACAGTTCGACAAATGAGAAGGAAAATATGAAGGAAAACAGACGATAATTTCGGTGGTTCCTAGACATGATATCGTTTTGTAATGGAAAATACAACATACATGAAACAGAAGAGGAATGACCCATAGCCAATTCATTTTCAAAAGTGGCAACCTCCTCTTGTGGATTGTCATTAATGGCTGGTTCTGCCAATTGAGGTGGAGAAGCCGAGAAGCAGTTGTTGCAACGAATTACGAAGAGGAATGGCCACTCTACAATTCTCCTTTAGGCAAAAATATCATGTCGTTAGGAAGAATGTTTACCGATTGGAAATAAAGAATCAAATTACTGTGTCGCAAACGCAATAGAGTTCCATCCTAACATGTTGTTTCCTTTTGGCTGTATTGATTTCAGCAACACAATACATATTTGTATCCTACATTGGCCCCTAAACTTTATATTTTTATCATTAAGTGCCTGTTCTTAATTCGTTATAATTAAGTTAAAAGAAATCCATAAAAATGAGTAACACCAATCAAATCAAGAGACTGAGAGACCATTCAGCTTCAGGTAAGCTAGGCGTTGCAAAAAAAAAATTCCAATATACAATGCGTGTCAATCACATGATTGTCTATTCTTCTGAAGGTAAATGAACGGAAAATTACTGAAATCTCTTGGTTCATCCACAACAATTAACTGAATGATATATTGACAGGGGTGCTAAAAATAGTGACATCTTTAACTTTAGAGCTAATACCACTAAAAATACCAATATTTAGGGAGTGTCATTTATATTACATAATTTTTGATAATGCCATTTACATATCAAATCGCCATTTCTGTTAGTTTGACCGTTATATTTAACAGAGAGACTAATCAATGCAGGGACGGAGTCAGAATTCTTGATTAGGGGTCAAGAAAAAAAGTTCCCTAGAATACTGATAAGAAAATTTTATGAGAGAATTTTAATTGCATACAAAGAGGTCACCAAATTTTTAATATATGCCCTTTCAAATTGTGTCTAAATTAAAAAGTAATGAATTATTTCTTCTAAACTCACGATAAAAGAACCATGCGTTTCATATATCATATATTTATCAATTTCATAGTTCACAAATTTGAATACAATCCAATAGCAGAATATAGTGAGATTTAATCATGTATAGATATAAGTAAAGACTATATATTTTTAAAAAAGAAGTACGACATAACTGTAAGCAATCTACCGAAAGAAACAAAAAAAATGCTAGAAAAATTCAAATTAACTAAAATAAAGGGAGAGTTTAAACCCTATCTCCCTGCCACATCTAATATTATATTAGATATGTATCACAACACCAAACACTACATACATTATATAATTTACTAAATGAAATCTACGGTTCATAAAAAAGAAATATATAATTTACTAAATGAAATATACGGTTCATTAAAAAAGAAAGAGTGAGACACTAAATAATATATAGACATAGACGATTAATAGGGATAATAACATTTTGTACGCCTCTACTATTACAAGTTAACAATTGTACCTATCTATTATTCTTTTTCAAAAATATATCCTTTTATTATCAAATTCTAACTAAGGTACCCTTCTATTAACTTTTTCGTCAGTTTGTCCTTAAAAGGGAGGTGAATTGACTTATTCACCCCTTAATTCTATCATTATTTTGTTACTCAACTAAAATCCCAACAATAAACTTTAAGCTATTATCTATTATGTAAATATTGATACATGGATGACCAATGACCTACCACGTTAGATGCTCACTTGGGAATTACATGTAACCCCTATTTCTACATCATTATTTCTCATTCATATGCATTGATATTAGAATGTAGTGGTTACCAAAGTGTGCCTATAAATATAGCACACCATTGTATCAAAAGTGGAGAATGAATAAGAAAGCTCACTTCCCCCTCTCTTCTTTGTGTCTTTTCCTCTCTAATCTTCTCTTGTAGTTGTTTATATTTTCTATTAGTTTCATAACACGTTATCAGCACGAAGCTCTGTCAAAATTATCATTGTTCAAGCCTCAAAGACTCTCGACATAATCTAAGATATTGGAGTAAGATCACAATATGATCAAGGTATGTAAATCTTAGATCCTTTCTTATCTTATTGTCTTATTTGTGTTGAGATTATCTCCTTCCAATATATCAAGATGGGTGGTACTTCTCATATCCATTGATATTTTATCACGTCGATCTATTTGGATTAACAAGAAAAGTAATATAAGTGATGAGTTAATTTTTCAGTTCTCCGTGTTATCCTATTCTTATCAATCATACATTGATATGTAGAAAATACAAGATCCAAGAGCCCATATATTCCCCAGAAATGGAAATTGAAGAATCCAATGGCAAAGAAAGAAGTGGACATGGTAACAAGAAGATTGGTTTTGTATGTTACCATTGTAATGGAAAATTGCATTTGTCTCGTACCCGTTGTACGCAAAAAACCTTATTCTACCAAGAATCAAAGGGAAAAACTAATTCATATACGCTCCTGTAATATCAATATTATGGAACATATTTTTTGTATTATAAATTGGTATATTCTCCATTAAAGATGAAAATGATGAGTTTCATTCACTTCTGTAACATATTTTTGGTTATATGTTGTGGTTGGGGCTGTATCTGTGGGTGGAAACATCTGCGGAAAGTCGTTAAGTGCTACCTGTTGGTATGTATTAGCCACAGGGATGAATGAAATATGAAGTGGTCAGAAGTTGGTCAGTAAAAAAAATGTAATGTTACTGTTGACACATTACTATTATTAAAAATATAAATCGTAACAACAAACGCACCAGTGGTCTAGTGGTAGAATACTACCCTGCCATGGTACAGACCCGGGTTCGATTCCCGGCTTGTGCAACAATTTTTTTCCGTCCCCTTGCAATTGGGCTGTCCTACCTATAGGTGTCAATCAGGCGGGTTCATCGGATTTTGGGTCGGGCGGGTCGGGTTTCGAGTTGTTCGGGCCAGCGCATCAAGTAACTTAACTAATTACTCATTACCAACTTACACATTTTATTACACTAATTTAAAATATTTTCTCAACTTTTTAACCAATTTATTTCTACCTCGTATATATATACTTTATTTTTTTGAAAAAAACTAGTCAAAATTTAAAATCAATTCCTTGCAAACTTGTTATGTAATTAATCATAATTGGTAAAGTATTATAGCTAATAGTAATGGTGATATCAATATTTGCAACCAAAAGACACCGTTAATTGTTTATTTGATATTTTAGTATTAATTCAGTAGTAATTGAATTAAAGTATCTCGTTCAGTATAACCATGCAAATCTGGTATTTGGCGTGTGGTAATTGGCAAAAGCATAGTGATAAAAGGAGTTATTTCAAAATAACTCATTGCCCAAATAACTTCAGTAAACTGTTGCCAAACGAGTTATTTGTAAAATTGTTCGAATTAGCCTAAAAATTGAACCATTAAAGATTAGCTATCAAATTTAGTAAAATTATTGTAACTTCAATCATAACTTACTCAATAGCATATATCATATACACTTAGCCTTACCCTCAATCAACAATATTAAGTTAGTATATGTTGTTGATTGTATACCCTAAACCATCAATACATTATACACTAACCACATAACCTATACCCTAATCATATGTCCTTGAGTTGTGATTTTGCTAGTATAGTTAATTTAAAAGTGAAATTCATACTTTGATTTTCAAAACATAGATAAAAAGCGATATTTGCTAATTGTTATACCCTAACCATATATCCTATACTTTACACCACATACCTTGTACCCTAACCACGTACCATAAACATAAATTAAAAAGGGATCTCCTGCCGTTAAAGACTTCAAATGACTTCAAGTGAACATATGTTAATAAAAAACTTAGAACCGTCAAAACCATCAATATCTTATACCCTAACAATATACACCCTAAACTATATGTACCTTATACCTTATACCTTATACCTTATACCCTAACCATATACTTTATATCCTAAACAACGAACCGTCAAAGATTACTTATCAAGTTTAGTATAAATTGTTGTAACTAATGGTTAATTCATTTATTAGCCCATAAACAATTACATACATATATACATATTAGCTTTCAAAGCATATAAGAATAATTTTAACTAGTCATGCCTTCCATATAAAAGTTAAAGATTCATATTTCAAAAGCTAAAATTATGAAAAACCAAAAAAATTGAAAACACCAAATTTGTTTCCTTCTTTCTTTTCACAAAATACTAAAATTTCCCTCTTTTTTTCTCCTTCCATACATTAGAAAAACTCAATTTTACCTCCTCTTTCTCTTTCATAAAATTGAAAGAAACAAATTACCATCTTCTTTCCTTCTACAAAAAGTTGAAAAGTCAAAAGTTTCCCTCCTTATTTCTCTTTCATAATAAAAAAAATCAAACTTTCCCACTTCTTTCTCTTCTCACATATCAAAACCACAAAAATTCCCACTTGTTTCTTTTCTAAAAAAATTCAAAGAACCAAATTTCCCTCTTCTTTCTCTTCCAAAAAACTTGAATACAACAAAATTTCCCTCTTCTTTTAAAAACATCAAATTTCCAAATGCATTACTTTACTTTATTTATATTTAATTGATAATTTTATTGAATAGTTAAATTAACCAAAATTTTAATTTATATATTATATTAATATTGTCATGATCTCAAGTGACCTTCATGTTTCAATTTTGGTAATTTTCTTAACATACGTAATATCAAGTGAGTTTCATATTTTTAAAATTTCTTATACGAAATGAAAAAAATAATTTTACTTAAGTTTAGAATGAAAAACTTTATTTTGAAAAACTATGTATTGTATATTTTTATAATTATTCAAGTGGATTAGATGAAATTCGGGTTGAGTCGGTCGGGTTACGGGTTAGTCGGGTTCGGGTCAATCGGGTTCGGGTTAATCGGGTTGCGGGTC